CCCCCCCCCCCCACCATTTGACGGGTAGTAAAAAGAATTCAACGATGAATGAGTGGATAAATGACGACAAATTAATGGTAATGTTTATCGACATGTGGTTGTGTGTGTAAAACTTGATTTAGGTCACCTTAATTTACGTCTATCAGAAAAAAAGGGTTGCTGATGTACTAAAACAGTTATATAAATTTACCTGTGGCTTTTGTGTTATCTCTGTTAACTTCCATTTCCAGTATTCTATAGTGAATCATGGAGCAGGTAATTTCCATTGGGGTTTCCCAAAACCTCTTCCTTCCCGGAACATCCCGAGTTACACATCTTTCTTAAATAACCCATTGCATATGACAATTCTATTTTAGTGGATGTGGTGTATGTAATTTCTTTGAAAAAGGTTTCAATAGCCTGGCTTCTATACTTTCATTCTTTAGTTATTATATCTGCATGGATAGAACGTATAAATATAGCACTGCCCATCATACTTCAAAGTTCAAAGTGCAAGTCGGAGAGCCCCTGGTAACATTACAAGTTATTTCTGTAATACTTCCATGCTTAAAACAGTCTATGCATTAGGTTCAGATCAATTTACCTTGTTTTGATAAACTTTCATTGTTTTGATAATACAAATTCAAACAATTTTCTCATTGCTCGCTCGTGGATAAAAAATTCGCTGTAAGTTGACTAAACCAAGTATTTCACAATCTCCCGTCACTGACGTATGTAAACAAATATTAGATTTGCGAGGAAGAATATCACTTACTGTTAAAAAATAGGGGGAAATCTAAAATCTAAAACGTTCACTTTATTCGCTGCTACTTATGTAAATTCACGCTTAAAGTTGTGTTTATTCAACTAATGTTTTTTGTAATTTGTAACGTTTTGGAAATCACGGACTATTTTCATATGCGGAGTGCTTTTGACAAGATGTGATCTGCCTCATCAAACCTGTACCCAAAATCCTCCGGTAGAGTTTGCGTATGCATATGTGTAAACAAAACGAAGTACGCCAGACACTTGATAATGTATTTTTCGCTCAATCACTGTCGATAGTGTTGACTATTCCCCCTTTTCGACTAANCCGTCACTGACGTATGTAAACAAATATTAGATTTGCGAGGAAGAAAATCACTTGCTGTTAAAAAATATGGGGAAATCTAAAATCTAAAACGTTCACTTTATTCGCTGCTACTTATGTAAATTCACGCTTAAAGTTGTGTTTATTCAACTTATGTTTTTTTGTATTTTATAACGTTTTTGAAATCACGGACTATTTTCATATGCGGAGTGCTTTTGACAAGACGTGATCTGCCTCATCAAACCTGTACCCAAATTCCTCCGGTAGAGTTTGCGTATGCATATGTGTAAACAAAATGAAGTACGCCAGACACTTTATGATGTATTTTTCGCTCAATCGCTGTCGATAGTGTTGACTATTCTCCCTTTTCGACTAATTTTCAACTAAAATGTGTGTTTTGGGACCCTTAAAATGATATAAAATGTTATTTGTTTCTGAATTGTTTAATGTCAAGAGTAAACTGAAAACCGTGAACATGAATTAGGATCAAACGTTATAATCTAAAAGGATATTTCTTGCTAAGGTATATCATTGTGGTATTCGAACCATGATTTACATCTTTGTCGGCACCTGTTTTCACTCAATAGGTCATAGAAGGACAAAACAGCTGTATGATAAAGTGTACTTCATATTGACATTCTTTGTTAAAGGTACAGTCCCATGTGTGTGCCGTAGGTTCATCTTTGAAGATCGAAAGTGGTAAATTCTGCTGGTGGTTTTCTTTGTCCCCGAGGTGTGTCGTAACCTTGATGTCCACAGTTTTCACATTCGGGTAGTGATACGGTTCAACCCCTAGCATCATCGATGGGTCCTAAAGGGACGAAACAGCTGTATGATGTGGCGTAATTTATTTTGGCATACTGTATCTATAACCACATGTTAAAGGTGGAAATACGTGTGTGTTTGTCTTAGATTCATCATTCACACCGAACCACACAAGGGTACTTCCGTACAGTACTCGTTTCTATGTTTCTGTCTAGTATTCAAATGTTAAGGAATCACTTAAAACTGTTGTTATCCAAACAGTGTAACATAAGACAATGCTTGTCAGTAATCTGAGCTATCCGCCCTATAACCAAGACACATAAAAACACAGCAAAAATACACACATTAGTATAAGTAAGCTAGAAAAATAAAAGATATAATCATACTTATCATTCGTCGTTTCAAGACAACTGGACCCCTATTCGCAAAACTCGCCCCTATAACACACAGTCTGCCCCCTATCACACACAGTCCACCCCCTTTCACACACAATCCATCCCCTATTACACACAACCCGCCCCTTTATCAAACACCACCCGCCCCTATCACACACAATTTGCCCCTATGACACACAACCCACCTCCTATCCCATACAACCCGTTCCTTACCACAAACAATCCGCCCCTATGACACACAATCCGCCCCTATCACACTCAATCCGCCCCTATGGCACACAACCCGCCCCCTATGACACTCAACCCGTCCCCTATCACACACAATCCGCCCCTAGGACACACAACCCGCCCCTATCAAAGTTCACAATAAAGCAAAGAAAAGGAGCCGTTATCATGAAACAATTCTATATCACAAAATACATACCAGAATAACAGTTATAACTGAATTAATATGCTGATGGTGAATCATATTTCTAAGGCTGGCTGGAAACCGACTTGAAATGGGTACATGGGATTGAGATAGAAAGAGTATCACTGTACATAGTCTATATGATGAAGTAATCTGCTTTGTTGCATTTGTGAAATGTTTCACTCAAATTGATGACGACGACGACAGAAAACCGAGTCAAGGTCTAGATTTGGACTTACTCACCAATTTGAACAGGGATCCCATCAAAAGACGGTGCCGTAAAACCAATATACAACGTTATTGAATATAATGATGTCAATGAATCCTAATATTTAATTAAATGTATGTGAATGATCAAATATTGAGACAATCGGAATTATATTTCATACCTTGTTATCATGTATAATATTGCAGTCCCTTCATTAATTCTCAGGTAAGGACTACGGGGGAACTGTCAGAAAAGATAAATAAATGATCCCACTGAAAAACTGTCTTCCGTACGTGACAGTGTAAGGGAGGTTACTCTTGATAGCGGTATGACATCAAGGTGTAACTTACAAACATTAAATTTTCGGAGCGATCCGCTTCTTTATCGAGACACACAAAAACACGGAGCATTTACATCACGATAGAACATAACAGAATAAGATACAATATATTTATATATATAATCGAAAATCCCCTCGTAAGAGTGAGCAACAAGCAGAATTTACACAGATCGCAGCGTTGACCAATGCTATTGTGTGTGTGAATAAAGGACAAAGAGATGAGAAAATACCGGATCATTTTAGCATTAAAAAAGATGCTTCAGATTGGAATAGAAATGTGATACTGAATTCATAACGCCGATTTGTTCAGCGATTATAAATTGAAAAATGGCACTGAATCCACCAAAATAACTTTCTGAATACACAAGGATATGGTTAAATTCTATTCTGGCGAAAGATGCAAAATGGCGAAAATGTCAACACATCGAGAAACACACAATTCGTCCACTACATATGACAACGTCTGTCAGTCGTCTCATGCACAGACGTGCATCAGCAAGTGGATGAGTTAGCTGACTAATACTTAACTAGTTTGTCAAAAGCGCTTAACGTTGATCCAATACATTTACCATATTCAGCTTCTTGATTCATGCCGATTCGGGCAATGATCTATGGCAACCACCTCTCTGTTTTTCTAACAACGGGTAGGCATATCAAAGTGCCTTGTCACAGGTGCCAAATGCCAAATGTAGATTGTTCTGTTTAATGGAAAAACGATGGTTGCTGATTGTATATTCTGATATTGAGCTTTGTGCTAATCTCATCCATATACTGTTGGCCGATGTGTATGTCAGTGTTTTTGATATGTGATAATTATTTCATTCAATTCACGATGAAGAGTATCTGTGGAACGTGTGTATGGACACAGTTTGCACACAGCTGACATATTTTACGGATACAATAAAGACAACTCATGGGAGTTGAAATATGTTAAATAGAATACATCACAAGGTCATGGAAAAAAGAGAGCTTACATTGAAAGGACCAATTTAGATAGTAGAAACACTGACATGTTCCTTATGTACACATGCAATGTATCAATACAACGTAGAAAAGAAATAGAAACACCAATAAATTTGATATATGAATTTTTATTGCACAGCAAAGTCAACAAAGTATCTTGTCTTTTATCTTCTTTTAATGTAGCAGCATTAACAAATAGTCTAACTATCAAAATATCCTTTTTAGCTCGAATAGAAGGGCTAATGTAGTCAGCCCGGCGTCGGCGTCCCACTTTACTAAGGTTACAGATTTGTGGGCAAATGTTTTTCGAGACATCATCACACTCGATACATTGTTGTCTGTTATAAGGTTGAGGCATTATATGGAGTGTAAGCAATCTGCTGAACCATATTTTCATATTTTAGGGGCAAAACTGTGTAATTGGACTTGGTTTAGGTTTTTGAGAAAGTTTGTATGTGCAGTGTTGGATTGGTCATCAACATCAGTACGCTGGTGACTTGTTCACGGTGCCTGTTATCTCTTCCTTTGAAATGTACAACATATTAAGGTACAGCAAAACCTTGTTATATTGCCACCATTTGTTCAAAGAAATATTGGCATTATAAAGGGGTTTGTCAATAAATTGAGGGAAACATATAAAGAAATTCTTAAGAAAAACATAATTAAGGGACCTGAAAATATGTTGGCGGTAAGCGAGGTGGCAAATGAAATGACGGCCATTATATCAAGTTTTTTTCTGTACATGTGTTTCTATTGATATTTGCTATCTTACAAAATATAACACCAATAGGCGAGCTATGCTGTTCTTCAACAGCTCTTGTTATATAAGGAGGCATTAAAATAATTTCAAAAAAGTTACAAACCAAAATTTGGTAACCATAAGTGTTTTTTTCAGACGAAAATCCCCTTTTCTTTTGAAACTGATCAGAAAGTTGTACATTTTTGTATATAAACATATGTTGTACATTTCAAAAGAAGAGATAACCAGGCAAAAACGATCATCCACAATTTTATATCCGCGAAACATTTTTTGCTTGAAAAAACCCCAAGAGGACTGGGTGACGAAATATCAAAAAAAAAAAAAAAAAAAAAAATNAATTTCTTAAGAGTGCGAT